AAAAAAAAAAAAAAAAAAACAAAAACGAAAACGAAAAAGTGTTACGAGTAAAGATAAACATGATGAGGGTGTGGGGTGGAAGCAGTGTGTGGTTCGCTCCCATGACAGTGGCTTCACCCCAACGTCAACACAGGTTTACTCCAACAGGAGTGACAAAACGGTGTGAGTCTTCACAACTAGAAAGGAAATATATACCGCCCATGCCTCCGGGGGGAGGGACCATGAAATGGAAGAATTGGTCCTCCCCCCTTTGCAGGGAAAAATTACAAATCGATTGATTTCATTTTGAGCAGGGGGACATGTAAGACAAATTTTCCGAAGGACAGGACGGCGTCCTCCACGTAGAACAGCTGGATGTTGTTTTCTTTTTTAAAGTTGATTAGTCTTCCCTTGATGGTCCACTTGCTGCCTCTGGACTCCTTCAGCTGGCGCAGCGTCGCGATGATGGCCTGCACGAGGGGTGATCGGGTGTGCGGTTGAGCGGTTAAGCGGTTGAGCGGTTGAGCGGTTAAGCGGTTGAGCGGTTGAGCGGTTAAGCGGTTGAGCGGTTTAGCGGTTGAACTGTTGCGCGACTGCACCACTGCAGTTACGCTGCGGGCCATTTCGAACATTTGCGCGAGGCGCTCTGGGTAGCACCCCTCTCGCTGGTCGTGGCACACATCACACACAGATCTTACCACTTGGAAAGAGTGCACCATTTTGTTGTACAGGGTCCTCTCGATGAGCCCCTTCCGCAAGTAGGCGTTGAGGAGGTAGGCCAGAGACTCGCCCAGGGAGAAGCGGAGATGAATATCGTCAAGGATAGGGATCTGCTTGCGGTAGCATTTTCCATTGAAGGTGTTGGCGTTGATACAGAGGTAGTTGTCTTTTCTGGCGGCGGGGTCTGATTGGCTCGTCATGCAGCTGGCCAATTGGCCCTCCATTTGGTCCTCTGCTAGGCCTTCATCTCTGTGGCGTTGACCCGATTGTGCCCTTGCCCGTGGTTTCCCCCTCGCAAAGTTAACCTCCCGGCAGTCCGCCGAGTGGTGGATGAGCGGCGAGGGGATGCTCTCCTCGTTGATGTTTTCAAAGTTTTGAAGAAAAAAGGTTTCTTCCATGGGGGGGTTTGCTGGGTCATTGTGAGGATTTCCATGCGTGATTAGAGAGATAGTGAACCACGGATAATCGAACCCATGTTACTTATTTGATTGGATCCCCCCCCCCCGTATTGCATACCAAGTGTGCGCAGCGATGCTTACAATGAACTTTTTTTTTTTTTTCCCCCTCTCACATGGAGTGTACTTTCACAAGTGCGTGTGGCCCAATGGAGCAATGGAGGGGGGACTAAACATGGGTGGAAAGGCCAACCTGAGAGGGTTACCCACAAGGGTCTTACATTAGTCGAAGTAGAAATGGAGAAAAAAAGAAAACAGTGTGGAGCGCGTAGAGTGTTCACTCAGGAGAGGGAACCTTTAAAAAAAAAAAAAAAAAAAAAAAAAAAAAAAAAAA